CTAAACCCCCCGAAACCCCGGCAAAGCTGATACATTTGTTGTTTGTGAAAATGTCTAGGTGGGTTTTTGTTCCTGCGTGCAAAAATGTACGAGGATGTCCGAAAGTTCTCATCTTTGTCTTTTTTTGGTCCGAAAGTTTTCAACTTTAACAATGTGGGTTTCTTTTTTCTGTGGGTTTTGGTAATTGTTCATGAACTGTTTGCGCAGTAGAAAATTAGACAAGTTAAAATGGAAGGTGGAGGGCCACAGGAGGAGCCCCAGATTATCTGCTTTGGAAGCATGTAAGGCTGATCAGCTGCCGAGGCTTGCGGCTGCGGCTGGTCCTACTGCGACTGCTAATGCTGGTAGTCGTTTTTGTACACAACAGCGGTTGAAGAGCCAGGTGGGGAAGGATCAGGGACCCGCTTTCTGGACAAGGGACGGAAAGAAGAGAAAACTCAGACCTGTTCATGAAGTTGCTGCCACTGCACCTTCTTCCCCACTGGACCAGGAAAGTTGCTTCTTGTTTTCTGTTTCCCTTTGTGACACTATTGTATCGTCCCATCTCGTTTGATGGCTCGTCCTGGACCCGGTTATTTCAGTTAGATTGGACTATAGTGTACTCGTTGCTGTTCGGTGAACTTATAAATGTTGGGGTTTTCGTATATCATATCCCAATTCACATTATGTTGTTTGCACTCGGTTTCAAATTTTAGTACTGTTGTGGGATAGGATGTGACAATATTCTCGTTTGGTGACTCGTAACTAGTTCAATTAAATTGGACTAGTTAGTCTGGTTTACTTGCCGTTGTTTGGTTAACTTATTAATCCCGGGATACTATATCAAGTCCCCCAATTCCCTTCCTGTTGTTTGCACTAAGGTTCCAAATTCCCATTTTAAAATGTGTTGTGCAGGGTCGAGTGGAAAATGGCGATGATGGTCATCAAACGAGTACTGGTGAGTCTTTTTTGCCGATTAAATTACCTGCTCTTGTATTTCAATGAAATGCTGCTGTTGAATTTGCAGTCTATTTGTTTTTCTCTATCAGATCAACAGGTTGTGCAGGATAAAGATAGCCTTAAGACTGGAGTTCATGCTGCCTCTACTGGTTAACCTCATTAATTTCTTCCTTGACAAGTCTCACTGTACATTTTCTGTACTGTATGATTTTGCAACAAAAATGAACTTCGTTCTGACTTTGTGATTGTATTAGATCAACCATCGACTGAATCTGCAAAATGGTTGCCGGAAAAACGAATACTTGAGCTTATCCTTGACAAATTACAAAGGTTTAATTTTGTCATGTATACATTTCAAATACCTTGCTATAAATTTTCTTCGTTATGTTGAATCGTTGATACATGTTTTTGAAAATTGCAGGAAAGATACCTATGAGATATTTGCTGAACCAGTTGACCCGAATGAGGTGCATATCTTGTTTTTACATTGTCATTTCATAAGGTGAACGTTTCCTTCTCTTTTCAGTTATGATTTGTATTGTTTTCTATTGTTTTCTACTTTTTTACAAGGTTGAGGGTTACTATGAAATCATCGAAGAGCCTATGGATTTTGGGACCATGAGGGCTAAACTTCATGAAGGAATGTATAAGAATCTTGAACAATTTGAGGTAACCTTTCTCAAAAACTATTTCTGCTTTAAATGTAGTTTACTTTTTCACCATAAGGCAGAAAAGTTCAAATAAGAAGCTAATTTAGACAAGTTCATAATGATTTCGGGGACAACTTACCCTAAATTGGTTCAGAAATTATCAAAAGCTATACATTTGGCTATTTAGACTGTTTGGTATATAAATATTATCTAATGTGACATCTGATTTATCATCTAACTGATAATTAATGAACTGTTTGCAGCATGATGCATTCTTAATAACAGAAAATGCAATGCATTTTAATTCTACAGCTACCATTTATTTTAGACAGGTATGCTAATTGGACCTCTTGAAAACTTTTGGAAAGTTTACTCTGAATTCTCCAACTAGAAAATCTTACAATAGTCCACCAACAGAATAAAACCACTTGGTTTTTACAGGCTCGTGCCATTCACGAACTAGCGAAGAAGGTATTTCATGTTTTGAAAACCTCTCCCGACAACTTTGAGCTAGAATTCTCAGAAACAAGACAAAGAAGTGGTAGGAAAGCTCAAGGTGAAGCTGGCAGGTCAGCTTCTAGCTCATATCTTAAAGTTGTTAAAAAATATGAAATCCCTTGCCATGAAACTTGGAGAAACGTTGAAATCTATGCTGTGCTCACTTAGAAGTTCATGAAATTTCAGGAGAAGTCAAGTAAAGATTGGGTGTTCCAGTTATATTGATGCAAGAGAGCACAGAGTTCCTTCTGATAAGATGCAAACAAGATGTAATGCTTTAATACTAACTTTGTAATTACAAAGTCCAAAGTTAAAACTTGAGAACCTTAAATCTTGTGTTTGTTAATAACAGGTACTCACGATGGTAGAAGATCTAGATCGTTCGAAGGAGATCCCCGCAGCACATATAGACCTTGGACATCCTTCCTTGATGAGGATGAGTCAACAAGTCTGACAGTAATTAGTCAATTAAAACAACTTGAGCATGTAAGTATTCTTTTCTTGTGTTTGTGTTATGCACAAGTGTTATAGACAGCACATATTTCCTGCAAGGCTAAGAAAATTGAATCAGATTTTCATTTGTGTTTTCCGATGATTGATGTCATGAAATCCGCCATGAGAACAAGTCATTTTTTGGTGTAGGTTCCTCAGCAGGACATTGGTTACACTGAAAGCTTGATGTTATTTGTTAAAGATTTAGGACCAACAGCTCAGAAGATTGCTAGAAAGAAGTTACTTGGATGTTCCGAAATGCATGAAAGTAAAGCTCCTTTGGCTTCCACCTCTTCCCAATTGGCACCTAGTCGTCTGAGCAATGTGTTTACTTCACCACCAAGTCATAATTTCCAGGACAAACTTAATGAGCATCCATCAACTATGAAAATCACTGGAAAAAAGGGATCTTTGGGTGATGAAATGGGCATCCAAAGTCCTACAGTTGGAGGGAAAGTCCAATGCAATGAAATTCATCCGAACTCTCCTTCCTTGAAATCTCATCATGCTGAACTTGCAGACAACAGTTGCTCAGTTTCCGGCTTCGAAAACACAGGCAACAACTCGACACCAATGATACTGAACCAATGGAAGTCGGTTAATCAAGCACAACCCTTGAAGCAGCCTTCAGATTATAGTTTTCAGTCAAATTTCTTGGACCCAAGGTTGAGTAACATGGGATTTGCTAGTTTTAGCAAAACTAAGAACAAACTGAGTTCATTGCATTTGAGAGGAGATGATGATCAGACAAAGTCTGAGGCAACCCAAGCGTCGAAACCCGACCAAGGCAGGCCAATGCTGGCTCAACAGTTCACATTTGATCTGCCATATTTGAGAGCCCAACTTGGTAGGATAAATTCTTCAGGACAAGATAGATTAAGCTTGCAGAAAGGTTCAGGTACAGAGCTGATGGTCTTCCCAGCCGAGATAAAACAATCAGAGAGAGATGAGAAATCAGTAGCTTTATGGTGATAATCAAAACCAATTATCTGTGGGTACTCAGTAGTCAGTATACTGATTTAGCTCTTCAGCTGTAACTTGTACGAAAGCTAGTTAAATTCTAAAAGTGAAAAGGTCCCCCTTCTGGCACTTTTATTAATAGAAAGTCCTAAAGTTACGATTTAATAGCATGACGGGTATATAGACTTGAGCTTTGCCAAGTTGGTTAGAACCGTGTGTTTTTTCTCTACACCAAGTTTGAATTTCCCTCCTCATCCGTTTCAATTTTTTCCTTTCAATAATTCAAAGTGTTGTCGGAAAAGAACTTGAAAGTGCTTCTACTTCTTCAGAACGAAACTAAGCTCTAGGATAAGTAGGGTATTTTTTTAATGTTATATTTTGGTTTAGGGTTTATGGTTCCGGATTTAATTACATTGAGTCGTTTACGATAGAGAGTGATAGGATAAATAAGATTTGATGCTTATAAAAAGAATTATGCATATAGGTAGAGATTTTCTGTATTATCGGTCCGATATTTTTTTCGGTTGAGTTTCAATACGAATCGGGTTGGTTTCGGATTTCGGGTTCTCGGTTTCTTTCCACCCCTAGCCCTAGCAATTACCGAGCACATCATACATACAGAGAGTGGGGTGGCATACAAATTGGGTTACTTGTTGATGAAGCAATTAATTAGATAATCCAATATAATCCATAGATTATATTTTACAAGCATGGCTCTCACGTCAAACAGCTGGCAAGGGTCCACTTCCAAACGTTCAAACTTCCTCTCCAACGTACTCCTGAGTTGTCCCACGACAACACATTACAACATGTTTATGCGACACTCCCCCTCTAAATTATTAGGTTGCATCTTCTTTCCTTAATTTTGTTCCCCTTTTTTTACTCGAAATTAGGTCGATTTAGTGGGAACACAATGATTAATCTATATCAGAAAGGTAAACCTCTTAATCTGATTCGCTAATACTGAGTATTTTCTTATTGGAGTTCATTTTGAATTTTAAGAGCTCGTAAAATGACTGAAAGCGTTTTTAGAAAAATATTTGTTAGTTATATGTTTTTTACTGAAAGCACTTCAAGTGTTTTTTCAAAATTCACTTGCATTTTTATTAAAGATTTGTTTCAAAAATATTTTAACTAAAAACGATTTCAACCATTTTAAAAATACTTACATACGAACCCTAACTATTTATATGCATACGCGTACGTGGCATTGATATTAGCCCATTAGGATATTTTTGGTTATAAATCCATTACAAGTAATCATGCACGTATTTGAGTCCATGACTTCCCTTACATTAGCATTTTGATTAATCAAGGCTGGTCGATCTCATAAGTAATTCTAACTTTCTTGAATCATTAGTTTCTCTCGTTTCAAATAAGTAAACATGTTATAAACGTGATTTTGGATCGTCGCATTTCCAAGTGTGTGACCTTTATTAGTTAAAAATGGCTGAGTTCTTTTTTTTTTTTTTTTTTTTTTTTCTGTTTCTGTTTTGTGTGTGTGTGTTTTGCGGTATAACACTCGTTCATTTCGTATTTCGGTTTTTTATTTGCTCTGAGAAGAAAAGGCGGAAGAGTTGGTTACTTACGCCACCCAAAAATAACCAACCGCCTTCTTCCTCCTTCTTCTCCACCTCCTCCGTCGTTGTCATCGCGACGGTGACGATCGTCGAAAGGGAATAATATCCAGTCAACCCGTTAACAACTAATACGTAAAGCTCCCGCAGCGGAAATGGCGTACAGGAGAAGGCAGGGGATAACAAGGTCGTCAACCTTCAAAGAAGAGATCATTCATCGCCCCCCAGACGACAATTCTGCACCGAATTCATCTTCCCCTCTGCAGTCTTCGTCTTCCTTCTCCGGTTCTTCATCTTCGTCCCTTGCCGCTCAGGCCATTCGTGCTTCTGCGCTTTCCGTCGAACGCAACAACCGATCCAAGGTTTCCTTTTGTTCCAACTGCCGTGGATCTTTCATTCATTCTTCTGGAATGTTTAAATTCCGTAATAATTCTATGTTTTCTGATCTGATCTGCTTATCTGGGTTGGTTTTATTTGTATTGAATTGTGACTGCGTACGTGAGTTAGATCAGTTGATTAGGATAGTATGCTGCCTCCGAGTTCGAAATTTGATGTAGATTAAAGTTGTCTAGAATATCGTCTTATTGACAAAAGTGAGGAGATTGTGATCATAGCTATAAATAATGCAGGACTTCTCTGCCTATGACGATGCATCTGCAAAATCGGGGTTTTGGGGTGTTCTGGCTCGGAAAGCTAAGGCCATTCTTGAAGAGGATGGTGAATTTCCACAAGATGATATTGCTGGAGGGCTCAGATCACAGCCCTCCGTTGCCTCCGGTGGCGCTCAGGTGAATCTCCAACTTGATCCTTGTATGAAATGGGCTTCCTTCAAGTTTCCTACTTTCTCTACAAATACACACATCTCAGACACCGTTAGTTTAGCCCGTTTGATAACCATTTCGTTTCAGTTTTTGTTATTTTGATTGCTGAGTTTTGTTGTATCTTTCCCTTTTGGAGACAGTTCCAACAACAACCATATTATCAGTCATATGACAACCCTAGAAGAATGGAAAATCCTACAATCCGAAAGGGCTTGGATAGAATCACAACTTCCCTTAATCAGCTCGGGGACACGTTTGAGAAGGCTTTCGAGGTAATTAAAATTCCTTGCTTGCTAATTGTAGATAATGGATGTATGTCGAGTTTAGTACTTTGGGAAACAAGTGTTTATAATGTGCCTTGTGTTTTTGTGTTCGGTTTTCAGGAAGGTCGAACGATAGTGGAGAATAAGACCGCCGACATCCAAAAGCAAATTAAACGAAGAGGAGACAATCCAGATGCACAAAATCAAGCTTCATATTATGGGAACCAGAACAGTTCACCGTTGCAGCCTAAGAACCAAGATACTCAACTCAAGGCATCACGCGACGTAAGGTGGCAATTATGTAATTGCGTGACTGGTTTGTGTAATCACAAGACGAAATGATCTGACTTGAGCTGAATTATATGTTGATGTGTTTTGGATGTGATTTTGGCTTTTTGTTTGCGATTCATTTAGACTTGCCTTGAGCCGGATGCATGCATAAATGGTGTCTGTTTTTTGTCACAGGTTGCAATGGCAACAGCTGCCAAAGCAAAATTACTTCTTCGGGAGCTGAAAACCGTTAAGGCAGATCTGGCTTTTGCGAAGGAACGATGTTCTCAACTTGAAGAAGAAAATAAACGCCTTCGCGAGAATCGTGACAAGGGGAACCACAGAGCTGATGACGACTTGGTATGTTTCTGTTTTTCCTTTCCGTTGTCATTGTACTTACCGACGATCCACAAGTAGAATAGTACGACTAACTGCAATTTGGCTAGGACATTGTGCCCCCATCCGCATCCAAGTTTGAATTCTTCTTCCCTTAGTATAGTTTAAATTAGAATATCGCTCGAATAGTGCGACTAAATGCAATTTAGAAATGTTTCTGACATATATATACATGTGATCATATCAGATCCGCCTTCAACTGGAGACACTTCTGGCGGAGAAGGCTCGATTAGCGAACGAGAATTCAGTTTATGCACGCGAGAATCGATTCCTGAGGGAAATTGTTGAATACCACCAGCTGACAATGCAGGATGTTGTGTATTTAGAAGATGATGAAGAAGTCACAGAAGTTAACCCCTTAACCAGCCCCACCGGCGTCTCCAGGATGCTCTCCATTTCCCCGCCCTCATCAGCACCCCCATCCCCGCCTCCAGAGGACTCTTCATCAGCAACCTCACCAGCTACTAAAGAAATACCTGTCCTTACCAAGCCACAAGAAAATAAAGACGTTTTTGCAAATCAGGCCATGCCAGGCAACGATACCTTAGCTTACAAGAAAGAAGATGCTAAAACACCTTCTTCAACAGAAGCTACTGCAAAAACACCTCCTACAGCAGATGGCATCACTAAATCGCTGACAGCAGCAGAAGCCGCTACTAAAACACTCTCTGTAGCAGCAGAAGATACTAAAAGACCTCCTCCTGCTTCTGCTTAAGAATTCGATGTTCGTTTTCGTCAAAGATCAAAGATTAGTATAGCATTTTTTATTTTGTTTCCTTCCTTTTCCTCTTGGAGAGGGGAAGAGGAAGGAGGAAGGAGGAAGGAGGAAGGAGGAAGGGGGAAGGGGGCATTCTTCTTCTGCCCTAAACTTTATCAATCTGTGGATGTAATATTTTGTTATGTTTTGTTTGAGGTTTGGGTTTATTTCTAGTACCCTTTTGACCTCTTAGCACAAGATAAAACCATGTCTTCCTTGTACAACCACTGTGCACGATATTGGTTCTTGAGTTTTCAGAATTCTTATTTGGTCAGTTTGTATTTCTTGTTCTAAATAATATTGTTAGTTTTATGGGGTTTGTAGCTCAAATTGTGTAGAGCGTTCGCCAATGCACCCGAGGTTTTGTTGTGAGATCTTTTCTCCTTAATATCGCTTGCTCAAACAAAATAATTATTAAACAAGATTTTAATTGTATCAAATTTGTGCAATTTGTCTAACTTCTCATATGTTGGAAGTCCAATCATTTCACCCAGACAAAGGTTGGAAAGAGGATGGGGAAATCCTTCACGACATGAAACACCACAATGAAATGAATGGTAACATTTAATAAAATAAAAAGAATCATGAGTAAGAGTGTCCGACCATATTATTTGTAAAACATTTTTATACAATAGTAATCCTTTAAATTTTAGTCCCACCCAATATTATACTAGTCTCATACAATCTTATCGAAATTTCTCTTCAAAATGAAAGGGTTTATAATTACTCTTGTTTCTTTTATTATAACATTGTGATTTTTCCTTTAAAAATTAAATAAAAAGCCTAGAAATAAATACAATGAAACAAGTGTTTCAAATATTGATATGTAAATTTATGGATATATCGATATTGGTTACTTTCGATGGAAATTATGAAAATTTGCAACGGTGTGGGTATCAACTCATTCAAGTTTAGTCAAAATTAAGGAAAAAATTCTCAAAAAAAATTCAAAATTTTGAAATCTACAACGAGTTCCAGCAAAATTTATGTAGTGAATCGGTAAATATTGTTGGTATTCATTAATTTTCCTATATATCACCGAAGTAGGGTGAAGTTTGCATTTCTTGACATATCTCGACCCGGAATGTCCACCTGGACTCTGAATCGAGCTGTGTTGGTTGACACCCGGAAAATTAGGTGGACATCCCGGATCAGAGTGTGTCATTTCACCCCTCTTTCCATATGGATTCTTGATTTTTCTGATCTTTCGACAAAAATATCGACAATTTTGTGATATTTTAAACACTGAGTGAAACAAACTTCGTATTTAATTCTTTTTCCTCTCAAAATTAAATATCATCACATTCATGCCTGCATTTAGAAAAATGGAGGGAGAGGAAATTTCTTCCAATGAATTCGGAGTTTTTTTCATTTTTCTGTTTTTGCAAATTGCAAGATTAACAATTTCAGAAGCGATCAAAGGGCCTCACATTCCTAATCTGCCAATCTACTTTTCCCCTTCTCTACATCAAACGATCTGACTATACAGTATGAGGTAAGAAACCAAAGAAAAGAACACCGGAAGAAGAAACACCACCCTCTTCGGCAGAATCTCCAAGCTCTCCGACCCTTCTTCGGCAATCGTCTCCAGTTTTGGAAAATTCGAACATTTTTCGTGGGATATCACCTGGGGTGGTGGTGCAACTTCCACCCAGCCGTGCACGTAGCTCCCTCCCTTTGCCACCACCATATCCGGATCAAAATGCCGTCGAAACTTCTCAAATCAAGCGAAAGAATGCAATCGAGAGAGATTCCGGTCGAAGATGTTACATTCAGATCGATTAAGGTTGGCGAGAGGCGTTGGCGAACCATCCTATATATACATTTAAAAGAGGTAAGGTTCCAAAGAAAGAGGAGCAAAAATAAGTGGCAGGAAGTTAGCTTTGCCTCACAATTGACGGACGACATGAGGCAAACTTAACAATAAAATGGCAAAATAAACGGATATATATATATATATATATATATATATATAGTAAGGGTATGTAATCAAAACAACTTCTGTTGCTTAAATTGGCGCATTACATACATTTGACATTTTCTCAATACGACGTATGAACAGTACCAAGTTCAGTTATACCCGACCGTTCTAATTTTTTTGCGAGGGCAAGACGTGAACAAGGCAGACCAAAAATTACAATCGAATATACCAGTGTATAGTTATGAGGATATGGATTTGGGAGACGGCTGCTTCCAATATGAGCTGGAGCTCCAAAACAGAAAAACTCTTCGGGTTTCTTTTTTTTACAGTGGATGGTTGCTTCAGAACAGCTGGAAAAACAAACTCGTTGATCCATCGCCGAATGATCTGATATCTGCGGGTTTAACCAAAGCTCTGCATAACGGGCACGTCCGCTCCCTCTCAAACCTGCAAGAAAAATAATTAAGTGTGTCAGCAGCCAGAACGGTAACGCAAGCAAAGCAGTTTAATACATGTTCATTCATTCTTTCGGAGAATTACATGGATATGATCCCATTCCATGGAAAAGGAAACGAATTTTATCAAGAAATCATCAATCTAATTTGTTTCCCAAAGATGATACATTGGTAGCACGGGAGAAGTAAACAAACCACTCTGATACACAGTCCTCACAAAAGATGTGTTTACATCGCAGTAGGATAGGAGCATGCATCTTCTCCTGGCAAATAGCACATAAATCGCCAGCTGCATTGACCTGCATCAAACAACCGACAACTGAGAATGCACGAACCACAAGCTCTTCCATGAAAGTATCATAATTACCGAAATGAAACACATAAAACCTTAAAATCCCAAGGAAAAAAGAAAATTTATGTCAGATTTTGTTCTTAAGACCAATCTAACTAATTCTTAGCTGACAAAAAGTAGAGAGAAACTAAATTCAGTGCATGATTAGTTTGAATGCCATCATTGGCATTGGGATTGAACCCAAGACAAATAAAGGATGAAGCCAACTTTTAGTTCCAAAATACAGGAATCATTAGCTTCAACTTCAAGTATTCCATTCAGAGGTTTAAAGACGTTTAGATTGTGCTCGTAATCTACCAACTGACGACAACAATAAAAAGGAAACCCTCAATACTCAAATTGCAACAAATAGAGCTTGCAAAGGATTGAGCTCATCAATCAGATGTTGGTTATATTCTGGATGTGCTACATGAAGCTCCACACTAAGCATCAAACAATTGAGTACATTAGCACATTATTTTGTACATATTTGGGAAGAAATCCGGTTTACCTGTTCTGATGTTGCATATGCCCCATAGTGCACCTCCTTACGTGACAATGCCTTCAATGCAGCAAAGAAGGATTGTACCTAACCATAGCAAACAAGGGGAGAGGCATAAACAGTAATAACAAGTGAGAAACAACTCATTCTCAAAGATGTTCTTAATGAACAAGTCAGAAAACTTGACAGATATCAAACGCATAAACTATATCAACATAAACTATTACCTTCTCAACAACAGATGTGAGCTTGAAAGTCAAATATAACCCTGTCATTAGTGATGAAAAGAGACTCCCATATTCTTTGTTCAAGAAGAACCGATACCACACTGGTGTTGGCAACAAGGCACGGTACAAGAGCAGTAGATACTCAACCAGAGTAAGCATTTGACCCTACAAAAGCGGCACTTCTTCAGTCAAGAGAGTTTTGGAGAAAACAAAAAGGGATAAAACTGTCAATTATATGAACATATCCCCTCATTTTTGTTCTAAAAATCAAATGAAGATGAGAGGTGATTAAATAAGCTCTCTTGAGCCAGCTCCTGGCTTATTCTTTTCCAACAAAATAATTTGCCCAAACCTAGTTTTGCTTAACTACTTATTACCTCACCTGCTTACGATAGTTTCGGCCTCTACTGTTTTTGTAGTACATTAATAGAAAACACTTCAGCACCATTGCTGCCTGCCGGACCAATGTGTCTGAAAATAACCAATGTGAAGTAAGCATCGCAAGGCTCTAAAATTAACTAACATAAGTTTCCCACAAAAAATTTACACAGAAATAGGAAAGAAGAAGCATCTGATAACAATAACAGTTTTCTATCTGAAACCTTGATGAAGAAACATGTGTGGAGCGTTTTTTTCTATTTTGCCTGACATGCACAGAGCGTTCAAATATGACATAAGGCAAACAAAATTCAAGGTAAAAGTAAATGGGCGTGTTCCGCCTTTCATAGTGAATAAAAAGTATCGCAACAACAGAAAGCTAAACAAATATTTGTAATTGCACACCAAAAAAGTTTCACACACTACATAAAAACAATTACTTCTGAATAGTGAATCATCCTTTGTCGAAGAGATTTGAATATTCATATGAAACAAAAACTAAATGTTAACTCATCATTGCTATCATGAGAGCGCTGCTGCAGAATGGAAGTTTTTTAAAAGAGAACAGCCACGATAACAAGTTAGGAGGAAAGAGGTTCTTACCATTCACCATGATGATGAAAACAGCATGCCAGAAGGGTGGTATAACTTTAGGAGGAAGCATAATTAATGGATACAAAAGATCTTCATTCTGGTACCACCAGTAAACAGCAACCACATGCAACACGAATGCAAGAGAAATGCCTATTAGAACTGCGATTTTCCTCTCTCCCTGCAGCCACCAACAGCATCTATTCTTAACAAACGAAAAATGACAATACAAAACACAAGAGCCTCTGCTGAAATTGGAAAACAAATAAATTTATATTACTAATACCTTCAAAGCTGTCTGTTTCTTTAATATATCATTTGACTTGAACATAATGGCAGCAATCCAAATTGTAACAAAGAAACCTGTAACGATTGCAAAATGAAAAGTAGTCACTAATTTGGAAGGAAGGGAGAAATGGCCTAAAAAGGTGAGCTTTAATATGCCATATGTCGTTGCAACTAATAACCATTAGTGTACAAATGCAGGCATGCACAATTAATTCATAAAAACGAAATGAACTCCTTTTAGGTTCTCAGATATACACCAATCCTGAAAAGGCTATCACTTATGAATCCGAATGCAAACTAGGACAGCATGAAATAGAAAATTCCCAAGAGTGTCATCAACCCCATTATCACTAATCCTTTGCATAGAAAAGCATAATCGACACTTGCAGAATACGTTGGCAGGACACTGACCTTGCAAATGCTGGCGGATGAAGACCACCAATAGAAGCAAGGAGAAGGGCAGGACTTGTTCAATCCCCCTAGCAACCTGCTGAATGTCATATCTCTGGTAAGAAGAATCCCTGCCATTAGCCCCAGCTCCATCACCTCCTTCTCCAGCAGCACTTCCATTTAACGATTGGGGAATTCCCTCTCCCAAACTACGATCTGTTCTGCCATCTGTCTGACCCACCTCCTCCGTTCCCAATGCTACAGAGGCCACCCCAGCCATTGGTGGTACAGAAACATCATTTGGCGGTGCAGTAACTTCCCTCAACTGTCCAGCTACTATCCCAGGTCCTTCCCTATCATGCTCCTGTTCCCCTGCACCAATTATCCTAATAGAAACCTCCCCGTCATTGCTTGTCGTTGTCGGTGCCTGATCTAGCTGACTATGATGGTGATCCCTAAATGCAGCAGCGCTACGCCCGTTAATCAAAGACTCGCCTTCTTGGTGATTAGCGCGGCCGCGGAGAATACCCGAGTACTCCAACAAGGTAGAAATTGGCGCCTGAATGATATTGGAAGCCGATAACACCCCATAACGCCTATTACTACTGCTTCCCGGAGAAGCTCTAAACGAGTCCAGATTGCCACCCGACCCTTCCATTTGCCTAATTGCCCTAACCCTAACCACGGCCATCACACGATAATAAATATTAAACAAAGCAACAAAGCCACAATTCATATAAAGATTCAAAAATACAACACGAATCATTTCTTCCGTGTAAAACAAGAAATCCCAAAAGAAAACAAGACGTGTCTTGCTTATAAGCATTAATTCCAGAGAAAACTTGACGAACGCGAAACGAAGAAATTGGATAGAAAGCGAGCTAACCTGCGAAAGCGAACCGGCGAGGGAGTTGTCAGGGGAGAGATAGCATCGAACAAGGCCAAACCCTAAATCGAAACAACGGCGGAGGGAATTTCATGGGCGGCGGTGCCAAAGGCGGAATTTGGGGGATGGGGCGGAGATGATTGATGAGTAGAGGGGATCGAGGAAATGGGTAGAGGGAATTTGTGTGTGTGGTGGAATTTGGAAATGGAGAATTTTGGTGGATTTGTTTGTGTGTTTTGTGTTCTCTTTCTCGCTCGATGAGGAAGAGCGCGAGAAGAGAGAAGTGGCCAATCACCCCCAACAACTAACAATGCACCCTCTCTAAACAATGACTTCAACTCTCTCCCTTTTTTTTTTTTGTTTTTTTTTTTTTTTTTAATTTGGTCATTCCTTTGATTGACCACTGTCAACCAACTGCTAATCCCCAACGCCAAAAACGAAAGAGTCAATTCACTTTTTCGAAGTTCAAAAAAACTCGTATAGACATTTTAGTCGATCATCATCGTGCGATTCACTAGTGCTAAAAATCGAACTTAAAACATATTGTGTGAAATATAAGTTTGAAATTCGTCTCAACCACTGAATCACTCCCTCTAGTAACATTGTAAATAAAATGTTCACTTTGTAATGAATCACTCCCTCTAGTAACATTGAAAATAAAATGTTCACTTTGTAATTATTATAGATGATTGATTGTGAGCCTAAATCCTCATAGTAAAATATTGTTTAAAAAACCAGTAGACTATCATTGCATAAGAAAATTCACCATTAAAGATTAATTTTGCTAAAACAAATTAATTGTTATCAAGATTGTCAATTTGTTCGATATGTGTGGAGTACCAGATGATCTGCACTTATAATCAACTGACGATGTGTGAATCAATGATTTGTTAACAGATAAATGCATCTAATTATTCACAAAAAGAAGTTAACACTATATTTGGATAAGGGAAATAAACTTGGAATTTGGATTAAACTTGGAATTTATAAATTGATATGTACCAATTCCCTTATTTGGATTCATAAACATGGAAATTTAGAATTTCCGTGTGGAAAAAAATTTGGAATTTGGGACCTCTAATTCCCAAGTTAAAATTCCATGTAAATAGGTGTCATTTCCTAATTTCTATGATTAAGAGTTTAAAAATAACATATTCCGTATTCAATTCCATTGTTCTTTTAAGTTAACCAAACAAGAAAATTCACAAATACTAAGAAATAAAATCCTGTCATTCCAATTTCCGTCATTTTAAAATTCCTTAGTAATCTTAAATTTCTTCATCCAAACATAATGCAAGGGAAAACTAATAAAAAAAGGCTTGAAAACTTTGAGTTTTAACTAAAATGACAAAATAAAGGGTAAAATGAATAGTACCAAGATTGACTTTTTAGTGTAAAAATATGATTTTTCATTAAAGCGAACAATACTGGGAGTCTAGGAGCTTTTCGTTAAATTTCTCAAGAAGTAATTCATATGAGATTATAAAATATTTTCAATTCTAGCAAGTGATGGTGATGTTAGTTGAAGAGAAAAATTATGTTTTTTTTAACTTTAGTTGAGTAGGTAAATTATATCCACATCGGCCAGTGGGAATGAGAAAAAGCAATTTAAATGGGATTACCTCACTCTAACTAACATTGATGTCTTTTGTGATAAAACTCCACACCTGACGGATTAGGCAGATGGTAAAGTGGGGACAATATCGATGTTGTTGGAGTGGGCCCTCAGCCCGTCGACCTGAAAAATTCATCATGGTATCAGAGTAGGTTGTCCTTTGTGTGAAAGCCCAAGGGCCACACATGCTCACATGTTCACCCATTTGTTATCCACTTGTAGGCTTCAAAACCGGCCACATACGCGGGGGCGTGTTGAGAGTTGAAATGTGAGGAACAGTTGTCTCACAACGGTGAGGGACAAGATTTGATATGTGCTTATATGGTATTGAGCTACTCCTCATATTGTCAATTAGTTTTATGGTGGAACCTCAATTTCATCATAGTATTAGAACCAAGGGACGGACTCGTACTGCCACGTGATTGGGTGGATCCCCTTTGGCCCCGTGCGATGGGTGAGTCCCAACATGGGTCCACGTAGGCCAAAGATGCCATATGATTAGGTGGGTCCCCGTTTGGCCCTGCATGTTGGGGAGCCTCGACTTGGCTCCACGTAGTTACTGATGTGTGGATCTTCATGTGTGACCCACAAAATAAGGTCTCACGTGCGGGGGCATGTTGGAATTCTTTTATCCCACATCGGCCAGAGGGAAGGAGAAAAAGCAATTTAAATAGGATTACCCCACTCTAACTAACACCAAGGTCTTTTAAAATAAAACTCCACACCTGATAGATTTGGCAGGTGGTAAAATGGGGACAGTATCAGTGTTGTTAGAGTGTGCCCTCGGTCCATCGACCTGAAAAATTCTACAGTATGATCTAGACTCTAGTAATATTGTACAATAGAAGGTTTCAAGTTCAACTCACATGAAAGACAAGTTTGATATCTAATATAACTTATTTCGGGCCCAAATTCCTCATCCAGAGGAAAATGTCCTTCCAACAAAAACAAAAAAGTAGAACACCATTTTAAAACAACAAAAATCACCATTAAAGATCATGTCTGCTAAAAAATCAATTAAACTGCATATCATTGGTTTTTTATTATATCAAATAAATTGAAGGTTCATCATAAAAATCTTAATTGTTACCAAACCTGTCCATTTTGTTTTGGTACGTGTGCATCACGAGATGATTTCCGTTTATAAATTTTTTAGGGATAAAATGTAATTCAAATTATGAACAGTTCTAATTATGACATGTCCATCATTGATTTGTTACACATGAGTTGAATCATGCGGAAGCAGAAGATGTTCTTCATTTTCATGTCTTTTATTTATAGGGAACTTAAACGAAAAGCTTCCGGTACTGTTCACTTTAACGAAAAATCACATTTTTACACTAAAAAGTCAATCCTGGTACTATTCACTTTACCCTTTATTTTGTCATTATGTTACTCAAAGTTTTCAAGCCCTTTTCATTAGTTTTCCTCTATTTATATGGTCTGAATTTTGTGCGCTTTTTGTGGCTGATGATTCAATCCACTTGCTGTCATGGAAGGCTTTGAAGACCCAATAACATTAACCTTCATAAAACAAGTTAAGCTAGAATGAGGCTCCCTTGTCTCCAACGGAGTTGTTAGGGTTGACAATATTGTTGCGCAATGCGAAACAACGTTCCTTCTGTATCTCCCAACATGTCACACCAATCAAAATAAGAAACTTATCCCTTCGAGCACCTTTCACAGAACTAACCATTCCCTGCAAGAACCATGAACCATGAATCAAAAGTGGAGATGCTTTGTGGATTTCAACTGGTAGCAAACAGGAGAGCTAAACCACAGTGGTAGTGGGGGCAGTCCAAAGGCACAATATGGGACTGTTGGGCAGTTGACGGCGGACGAGGTTAGTCTTAGTTGGTAGCGCCATTGGCAATGCACGCCATAGAAAATAAATCACCATGGGCACTGCCTACATCTTTGATAAAGCTTTCTAGATCGATGCATCAAGGCACGTGACGTATGAACATTGTATGAGCAGTTGGGATTGTTGTTGCGTGGAGCCAATGGTAGCCACTCAGAACCGTGTACATCCTTTAGTTCTCTAAGCCCTTGAACAGTAAGTTAGGGGGACTTGTTACAAAGTCCTTTTAGACTTATTAAAAATAATATATAGTTGTTATTGGGTCTAATGATATATGTCCAAAGAGAGAACACTAGGCTACTTGAGAATGAGAAAGATCAAGACATTGGCCATACAAGTCAGCCCAAAGAACTCAGCATATAAGGCATTACCTCAGTAACGAAGACGACCATCATCTGAAGACCGCTCTGAGCCTTAGATTGTTTGCCAGCAAGAAGGGGTGCATAACTTAAAGTACTGTCCGACCACTCAAGACAGTTGGTAATCTAAACAAATTTTCCGCTCTAACAAAGCACCAAGGGCAGGTTTGCCCAGACATTAACTCAGGGCCACGTGTTAGCCATCAATGAGAACAAAAGTCTCTGAAGGGACATAAATGTTGTCAAAGCCTAACGCTCGACTAAAGTGTTTTTTAACCACTCTTAGATAAGAGCTGCTTGTCGACCCAGAAAATAATGCAAATACCCTTATGTAAATGCCACTTCTTCTCCACTTACCAAATGGGTAATGGAGACATAGCTTACATGTCACACTTACGTGTCCGGCCAGTTAATGATGGGGCGGTGGTAAAATTAAGAACCCAAGACTTTTAGAGCTCACTCAAGACTATATAATAGGGGGGTAATAGGGGCGAGTACCCCTTGTAAGTCGTTAGACCTTTTTTGTTATGCCCCTTCCCCCGCCACCCCCACCCCCCCCCCCCCCCCAAAAAACCCAACCCAACTCAACTCATGCTAAGACCATCTCCAACCCTAACCTAAAACCTAAAAATATTTAGCCCAGAAAATTTAGGTTTTAGTCCAGAAACAGCTTTTCTGCTCCAACCCTTCTGGCCTAAAATTTTAGCTCGAGATTATTAAATAATGAATTTAGGCTATTTTTTTATAAATTAAATTTAAAAAAAATTATGTATACTATCCTAAATTAATTTTATGAACATTTTAACCTAAAAATATTTAAACTTTGAAAAATCACTAAATCAATACATGAAAATCATGATAAACCACATAAACTTAATACAAACGACATTTAATAAACCACATAAACTTAATACAAATGACAAATAATAAACCATATAAACTTAATACAATCGAAAACTCATAAACTACATAAACTTAATAATGATATCCACCATCTTGACTTGGTGATGGACTTGGGTGATAGTCTTGAGATGAATCATCATCTTGAAATATACTCCTTGTTGCATTCTTTCGTAAAATGTTTTTTTGCTTACCACGTAAATATTTCTTCATCTCTGGAGTGTATTTGTTGAGATCCTCCATCATCAAATTAATTTCGAACCTTTCTTGCTCCCTATCCCCTTCTTCCTTCATAGCCAAACGCATTTGGACCAATTCTTCTTGCCGAGAGATATGGTCTTCATTTATTCTTGCCAATCCGCTAGCAAGTTGTGCACTTATCAGATCTTGGGACTTCCCTTTTATATTTGCTTCTTTTTGCTTATTTCTACCCGGGGGCCTTGCAAAAGAAGTTGGGGTCATTTGTTAGACACCTTCATTGTCGGCAAAATTCACATCTTCATTGACATCATTTGGGGGTGGGGCTTCACTATGAAATAATCTTCCCCATTGTTGGTCCGCATTGGTTCCCCATCTCG